GGGGGGGGGTAGGGGGTTGTGGGGGCAAATAAGGTGCATTATGGGACATGTGCAAGTGGCCTTTACAGCATGGCGGTTTTGTACTAGGTGAAAGACTTGCTGCACAGGGCCTCATCGAACTCAACCAGGAACACACCGACGCCATGATTTTTAAAGATATGCTGACTCGTTTTTGAGCGGTTAAAGTTGCCAAAGTTGGAGTCCTTTGTTTAGAATGCGACCTATGATTGAGTGATTCATGTTGGGTAGCCCGTGATGTGCCCGTGGCATTGTAAAACTTCTTGACGCGCTTAAACTAATCATGCATCATCTAGCAATGGATAACGAATGCGTTTAAACGAACCTTTCGCATTCACCTTGCGTGATTGTAATAGAACTATATTGTTCTTATCATGGTATTAATGTCGTGATATCAACTTTGTTTGGTATTTTTTGATAAGGAAAAAAGATAGAAAGGTCCAAAGAGGAAATTACTTTAAATGTCGGATGATTCTGTGGTTTTGCGAACTCAAACAAAAAAAATTATGATGTGCCCTAATTCATTTATTTGAGTAAGGGAGCCAGATAAAGAATGGCATTTGCGGAGAAAGTCTATAAAGAGCGATCCTCAGGGAAATTAAAGGATTAAGCACTCTGACCTCAAAAGATACATTTCCGAAAATCGAAAACAGAACGTTTTTGCTTTTTAATCAATTGGGATCAGTAATAATTGGTTCGAACCAGCGAAGAACACTTAGCTTGTCTTGTCTTTAGGGAGAAACGTTTAGCGCTGAGTCTAATGTAACTGATTTTGTTGCACTAAAATTAAAATTGTTGTTTACCAAAGAGCCAATTTACTTTCCCAGGAAAGAAGAAAATGCAAGACAACTGAAAAAAAACCTTTAAAATGCTTCCAGCGTGTCGAAATTGTAAGGTGATAAAATCTAGGAAGTGAAACCCGTATGCATTTAAAAGGATTAATTAAAGTATGCGGGAAGCGATTTTGTATAAATACAGATGGAGAATAGAGGTTGAAACCAATTTCATGTGGTATTTTTTATATCACTGAGTTCGTTTTCATCGCTCTTGACTGGCACTCCCGATTTAGCTCTCGTTGGTGGTTTGTATAACAATTCTTCATATAGAATATATTTATAAAGAGGGCAAATGTTAATTTTTGCTGTGTGCAGGGAAGTTTTTTTTTTTATAGATATGTGTTTGCTAAAACATTGTAGTGTTTTGCAGTTCAAACTGATCTGAGATGACTCAGAGGGAAATCAAAAATCGAAAAAAAAACAATCAGATATAAATTTTTACCTGTAAAAACGTGGCGGGTTGTAAAATAACTCACCAAAATCAATTTGGAAAAATTTTCGAGCTGCTCTAAGTCCGTATCAGTTTCTTTTTCGATTTTGGAAGACGTTTACAGCCCGGCTGAAATCTCCATTATTTCGATTCAATGCCCGATTCAAACTGGATTTCTTTGGGGAAAAGGTCATTTGGAAACTTCCATATTTCAAAAGTTTAAACAGAAGTTCAGTCACCGTCCGTTCACCCGGACGATCATACTCAACGACTTATGAAATGACTCCTGGCTTCAAACCTTTCACAGAATTTAAAAAGTTGACCTATCATTTTAGTCCTGGATTCTATTTCGACAAAAGAGAAACAAAGTAGTTTCACTTTGATAAGCGAAACCATGCTACATTTCTAAGGAGGGTATTGTGTTTTCGAAACCCCTTGGGAGTAATTGAAAGTGAATAGAGTTTAGAATTGCTAGTTAAATCAAAATGTTTGACTGAAAAAGAGAAGTCAGTATCAGTTTTGAAATTGTTGAATTTAAAGTTGGAGAATTCTGGTTGTACATTGTACGACTTGCGGCGCGCTGGTGGTCAATATAGATTTTCCTGCCAAAATGAATGATTTTTCAAATCTTTCAGTCCTCCTTAAACAACATACGCCCGGCAGTACAAGCAAGCTTATGTGAAAAACTTGGACCTTGCAACTTGGGGTGACTGTCTTTTGTAATGTAGCATCTTGAATTTACATCAGTCCGAAATGAACACTGTGGTTACCTTAAGAAATGCCTC